TTATGATTCTTTGGTACAATCCATAGGATTGAGCATTTCCCTTTCAACCATTATTCAGCTAGCCCAATGTACTTGATGCAACTTGAAAATTGTTAATACTGTAAAATCTGTATTAGAAGTTGCGGTTTCTATTAAAATGATACAGTTCCACAGAGGACTTGCAACTTCTATTAGAGCATCTACACATTTGAGAAATGGTGAATGTTTGGTACTCAATTGTACCAAAAAAAATGGATGCGACTTATATTAGGGATGTGGCTTCTAATACAGATTTTACAGTAGATAAATACACAGTGTAGAAAATGGCCTCTCCAATCAGACAGATGTATTCATGTTGGAAGGCCATCAGATAGGCTATCAATTTATTCCAACGGCTTTTTATTTAACCGAGGCGAGCACAAATATAGGATGACAGATAACACTTTAATCAACAGACAGACAGATATGCCCACAACACCAAGCAGCAGCATTCGAAGAGATTAATAACTGCCCTATTAACTAACATATTCATCAGAAATCAGTATTACTGTATTTGCTCTATTAGAAGTACATCTCTAATAGAAGTGCATGTAATCTAATACATCATTATTATGTACTGGATCATTTAAATATTATATTTTTTTATACTAGACACTCAAGATTTGACCCGCAAATGCTTGTGGTACTAATAGAGCAAATACGATATGACCAGTCAACTGTAAAAGTAGTGCTAGGGTATGAATGAATATGGAAATTGTTTCTTTTTTATTGCTCCTTGATTTCAACTTTGACCATTGCATATTTTTGCAGAAAAAATGTGTAGATTACATGCACGCTTAATGGCTGATGAGAGGGTGCATCATTTAATTAAATTTCAAAATAAGTAGTGTCCCTTGTTAGCTGCTAAAATAAGCTCCCCAAACTCAAAACCTGATGATTTTGATCAGAAGAGATCACCTTTATATAACACGATTTGAACAAATGTGAATTTTGATTTTCTGTATTATAATGAATTTGTGTTGCAGTGGATTTTATGCAACCAGTACATTCCAAATGATATTCTTTACACACTCAGAACCATGTTAATAGTCCACTGATTATGACATGCATCCAAAATATATTTTAAATAGTTGCGCAATACTTATTGTACTATAAACCATACTATAGCATGGGATCTGTGCCAATGCGCGTATTTAATTTGTGTGACCTTTGAACCGGCTTCAACATCAAAACAGTACAACGTAAAACTGGTATTGATGAGACGCGAAGATAACAATTTATAACGAAGAAATTTATGAAAGTTTCGTCAGTAAAATATTATCAGCCGATATTTTTTAATTCCCTCATTTGTACGTATGTTGCCCGAATTTGCATACGAAAGCACGCATATTGTTTACAAAAATACGACCATGCGTGCATTGACAACAAGTGTACAATAACTAAAAGTGGAATTTACTCTGAACAGAGTGAAAATGGAACACGGGAACGTCGAATAAATATAATGCAGGGTTCACAACGTGTTGAGTAAAAAAAATATCCACTGCAGTCAAGTTCCGCGACACGTGGTTTTCCAAATAGTCAATATGGCACGCAAAAGAAGCCAGAAGAAATGCGCTTTTTAAACAACTTCTAATTAATAAAATATCATACAACTCACTTAAATTGTTGATAACCGAAGGAGGTAGCAATATGTCCCGATGTCCAGGGCAGAACTGATCGTAGCACGGGATAATTCGATGAGAACTGCGTCAACATAGTTACATACACGTGCAAGATGACCGAGTTAGGTTAAACTGCGCATGTGCAATGCATTAAACGATGGCCTTGGTCACGCAGGAATTCACGCAGAGCAAAGCGAGATTCGGCATTGCAATGATGTCATCATCATTCTGTTGAGCGAATAAACATACGTTGAAAACGTCCCGGGAAAACGATCGCAGAACACTCTGGGATATTTCGAAACAATTATGCGTTGTATAGATAACTCTGGCTGCGTATTTCATAATTATAGATTGTTTTGAGATGCTTGTGGTGATTTTCTCCGTAAAAAAGCATTTTGAAAATTAGGACTCAGTGCCGAGGCATTATAATAATAATAATAATATGTCATAATAATAATAATAATAATAATAATAATATTAATAATAATAATAATAATAATAATAATAATAATAATAATAATAATAATAATAATAATAAATTTATTCAACACGAAAATCTACTACAGAGCGTAATTTTATGGTTGTAAAACAAAAACAGAAATAATACTTCACGCAACGCACATTAAATACATAATATAGAACTAGAAAAAATACATAAGCTAATGTTATTGTTTAGGACAAAGCAAAACTGAAGTTCAGTTCACTCCACCAAAATCATGAATAAAACATTGAATAAATGTAACTAAGAATGGAAGAAAAAAAAACATGAAAATTAGTATATGAATTAGAATTAGACACTTGTTTGCAGAATTACATGGGTAAAAAATCACATAAACACACAAGTTTTACGCGCCTAAATCTTTGGGGGAAATATTTCACAATGTTGAAAACAAAAGTTACAGCAAATTCACGATGGAAAAAACAACAGACAACTTAGAAATAGCACAAAACTAAGTGAAGGCAAAAAAAAAGGCTTTCTGTTGGAGCTTTTAATGGTGATACTAACGGTACAAATCACCCCGACATTATTGTACTACGCTGTCCAAGCAGATTAGCCATTATAACCTGCTAAACTACGTATCATTTTGTTCATATGCACTTACATCATCACTCACACGGGTTTATTTACGTTCCTGACCTCATTAGGCTGGAATAAAAAAATATTTTAAATTTTCAAGATGAAGCACTCGTGATGTGAACACGCAGTCGTTGGGGGCAGCCTACACAGTCGGAGGTGAGACACGTGCTGGAAATAAACATAGCAATTACATGTAGTATGTTTATTGAAACAAGGAATTAAATTGGTTGTACATAAGTTGGACAATCAAATGCAAGACAAGAAAACAAATAAATACAAAATACAACACAATATAGAAAGAATAACAATGTTTAAAATACAATCATACTAGGCAATCACATCTACTGACGGAAAATACATAAAGCAATTCCAATAGCCTATTAAATATATTTCGAGCCCTAAGAAAAGAAATGATATAAAATACTAGACATTAAATTGACATGAAAAACTCAAATTGCGAGGTGTTGCTGCTGATATAGGGGCAGAGACGAAATTTCCCCGGTGACACTGCCCCAGTTAAATATTATTATTGTTTGTATCAATTTAGACAAGAGTGTGCAACGAGTAAATCAGTGTTATTGTTTTTCACTATCATTATAATTTTAATTGATTGTTTAGACTAGCAAAGAATGTTATGGACATGTGTTTCTTTAAATAATTAAGTATAAGTGACATATTTATAAAATGTAGTTCATTTTCCACTTTGTGTTTTGAACATGAGATATATCCTTTCTTTCTCTGAGGTTTGTTTGTCTGGCAGGTTCTATGATCCAATGATCGCTTAGTCGCAACTTACTAGGGCTATCTCGACGATCTATATTTTCTATTGTGGTGAGACATATGTCAACCTATTTTTGACAGGTGTTAAGTTTAATTCTTCTTTTTTTTAGCGGAGTCATTAATTATTTCATCCCTGCAGTGCATTTTAAATAGGTCTTCTAGTTTGTCATTGAGCGGTTTTGATTCTATGTTTGTATTTATTTGCTTGTCGTAATCTTGGGTGACATTTAGTTGGATTAAAGATATCGGAAAGGTCAATACATTTTTAAACAGCATACTTGGGCTCAGATTACAGCCTTGTTTTACACCTGTCTTTGAAGAGAACTGTTCTGTTCCTCAGACCATAGATGGTAGTTAGTACCTTCCATGCTCAGACAACCATCACCAGAGGCTGCAGTACGACATTTTGCATGAGGGGCGAGATCTGCTGCTGTAGATCGGCGAAACATACATATAGTTTTTGAAGTTCATTATTTTCTGTGGCTAGTTCCAAACGATCTACATCGTTGTGTTACATATCGGATATTTGTTGATTATTGTTTTCAGAATACAAGTACATGTACGTATATTGCCTGTCGTACAACAATTTTTTCCGAAACAGAAATGGTGTTTGGATATAACATTATAATTGTTATTATTTCGTTTATTATACGCGTGAAAATTATCCCCAGACAGCTTGGTATAGACTCCTATACCTATAGTAGTATGTGGTATAGCTATGCCTCTATAATTTGCAATAACATTGTTATAAATGAACATGTCATGTTTAATAAATTGTATTAAACTGGACCATCTGGACGACCCGCACCTATAACAACATTTTCCCTGCGTCAAATTGAACACGTCACCATTGACAACAATGGAGACATGTACTGTCGAAGAATTATTTTGTCATGACAACACATACATCCATTATAAACACGCAGACGATACAATTTTGAGTAGATTACATGTAATATAAACAACGCATTTGGTCCGCGCTTACGTTTACATGGCTAGACGTAGAACTAGTATATACACAAGTATTATAAACACTGCGAGAAATTGTGGGTTTACAGATATAAACCCGCTATTTTATTCAAAGTATAGTAAATTGCGTGAGGACACTGGATTTGTGAAAATATAATGTGACAAAGAGGAAATATAAGATGCGTGTGCGAGTGCGTATGTGCGCCCGGACCTGTATCTCAGACATCCTTGGACCGATTCTTTTTCATATTTTACGTATATGTAATACCTTATTTGTGACATATGCACGTGCAATGATTTTGTTCCCCCGATCTAAGATGGCCGACTGCCGGCCATTTTTCATTTGAAAATGCACTAAAAAATAAATAACAAACATACAAATAAACTGAAATGGAATTTTTCCGCACTTTAGTTAGCGAGAGTGGAAACGCAAGTAATAGTTTAGTTGAGATTAGGACTTTCCTCGCTAGTAGCTATGGTAATACATGTATATACGTTTACAGAAAGCTGGGATATAGCCAATCTGATTAAAATCTGATGTAGTGTACGGGCTTTAATTATTGTGGCTATAATTTTATTTGTTATTACTTTTGTTATTACTGCCCTTTTATTTTACTTTGATTTTGTGATTTTTTTTTAATTCTGCCCTACCTACATCTGATCCGACGCCTATGTAAGTCCCGTTCAAATCTCGCATAAGTAACAGCCAATCACAGCCCCCCTTTTATACAGGCTGTCGGTTGCTTACTTTTCAGTGTAGCGATACTACGGGCAATCTTTCTGTACATTATATTTTGCCCACTTGAATAAACCATTAATAGAAAATTGCTAGTATATTTTTATTTGCAAAAGAAATTCCACAGCATTTTACAATTTTTGTCATTACATTGAATATTTTTTTCACTTCCAACAAATGTGTACACTTCCAGATACATCTTCGCCAACCAAGGTTCGTTCATT